AGTCAGAAAGCAGACAGTAGAATATATTACTCAGACACGCAGCCCGAAAAAGATAGTTGGGAATGTATTATTAGCTTTTATTAATGCATTTTTTAATAAGTGTGAATTTAAAATGAAGCTGAACATAAATTATACCATTCAGGTGCATTTATTGAGGAAGATGCATTTGCATTCAAAGGTACCAAATGATAAATTAACACACAACATTTTTAGTTAATCATCTTGTCAGCACACAAAAAAAGATTCAACATATCCGTACAAATTCAACTAAATGTAGTAGTTAAGAGTACAACTGGCTACTTAAAATAGAAGTCTTAGGTTTTTTGTTTATAAAGCAAAAATAGCCTCCTAACATAGCTAAGATGCAACACTAATCTCTTAGATCATCTGTAGTGAACGCTAACATAGATCAGCTTTTTTCCCCTTAAGGATAATCAAGGGTGTGATGGAGTTTGTCTAAACAATCTTTGTATTTTGTTGACCTGGGGAATGCTTTTGAATGTGTACCTAGTTGTGCTCTGCAGAGATTTATCTTGGAAGCTTTGGCCTTTTAGGAAGGGCAATTTCAACCCTGTGCAACTGGACTAAGAGTCTTGATGTACAGTATGTATGCCTGCATGCACGGACAGCATGAATAAAACTTGTGCATACTACCTATATCTTGATAAATCAAAAACATAATTAAAATTCAGCTCTTAGTCCGACTGACTAAAATGACTGCTACAGTTAAAGATTTTTGTTTTAGTTTTTTTTATGAACTCGGAGGAAAACAAAAAAACAATTTGGAGCTCAGAGAAACTGCCTCTTTGCTGTCAAAAATTGCAAATTGCTTATTATTGTGACTCAGTCTTGTCACAAACATCATAATCCCATCAGCACAATAACAATAAACTGCAGTTATAATAATATTCATACACAGTTCATTCTCTGTGCCACATATCTCCATCATGTCTCAGAATTTTTTAGCCTTTAAAGAAGCAGTTTGATGAGAAAAAAATTCTGCCTTTTGATTTTACAAAAATCGGTACAAACAGTGATAATTGGAAAACAAAAATGACAAGTTAAAGACCAACTAATGTTAAAGAACAAACACAAACACAAAAAAAAGGGAGCAGCAAGATAAAAGCTGCAACATATTGAGCTTGGCTTGCTTTAGTAGCTTTGTTTTGGTGGCGTTCAGTAAGAGAAGGATTCATTGAGGAGGTAAAATATTCCTGCCCATGAAAGAAAAAGCCTCAAAAAGCCACAGCTCTAAAAGCACTCAACACGAACTGCGTTCACGTGATTGCATTACTGTTAATGGAATGCATCGTTGGCTGTTAAGAGCAAAGCGTCAAAATGATACATAAAAAAAAGAGCTATGTGTCGGGGCAACTTGATAAGCGTACTGACAGAATATCCAGACTGAAAGTCAGGTTAAAACTGGTAATCAGACACTTTACCAACTAAATACAGTATTGGTTGTCTCTGACTATATGACTGTGCAGAGTTCAAATCCCATGTGGACTCTTTCTGTTCGCCATTTGACTTGTTTTGTGCTTTAACCACCTGGAATCTAAATTAATTTACAATTTTCCCCCATTTCGTTTATAGACTATACTTACAACTTTGAGGATGTATTTACTTATTCTTTTATGGCGAAGCAAACAACACATAAAACTAAATAACAGAAAACATGAATAAGGGTTCACCTCTTTCAAAAATGGTTTTGTTGAGCCATTTTTTGGGGCAATTACTGCTGATCAAAGCTATTCTTGCTCCTTCATGTTGGAGCGTTTCTGCTTGTAAACAGAATTTTGCAAAAACAACAATTTCCCCCCCCCGGATATTTCTATATTCTTACAAAATTATACTCATTTCCAATTGTAACTGAAACGGTTACTGGTGCATTAATCCAACATTATTCCCATTCAAATTTGTCTATGTTAATGTGTATACTGTACTCTTTTGATTTATCGGTTGATGCATTTTAACTGGTATGTACTAGGAGAGAGTAGACCTTTCAGAGCTTGTGTAATGTTTGTATGAATGCTCTATTGTGTTTATTGTATTTCTTTTTTTATTCCATTTCTTTAATTTGTGTAAATTTAGTCTCTGTCAAGGACCCCTGAAAATCTCAAAGGGCTATCCTTTCAATAAATGCCAAATTTAAAAAAATATGTTTAGCAGTCAGGAAGTAGTTACGGTTTTGCATGGCAGGCTGTGCATGACTCAGAACAAAAACACTCCAGACTCATAAGACAGCAGAATCATAAGCCTCTGTCCTTCATACTGCAACCATCTACTGAGACCAATATGGGTAAAAAGGGTAAGTTGCATTCTATATAGTATTTGCCAGCGCTGAATTAGGGGAATGATTAAGAGTATAAGAAGAGAATATAACCCCCCCTCCAGGAGTTATTTATGTTGCGGTCCCACCATGTGTGAGGGGGTGGCACACTGTAGCAGACCGTTGTGTCATAGTTTTGCCAGCTTCAAAGCATTGCATAAGGGAGGCATAAATAACCACTCCTTAAGACAGATGGTGTTGTAGAACACCTGAGGGTTTGATGGGACATGGTCCAGGATGGATCCTGAAACTGAATTCATCTTGGAAAAAAAAAAATTAATAATGAAGTCACATAGAATCTACAGCTTTCAGCACCAAATCCCCCTCTAACAAGGGGTAAACCACGCCTGAATGACTGTGTATGGAAATAAGCTGCCAGCTGGGAGGAGCTGCAATTGTGGAAGCTCTAAATGTACACCGGTAAGAGGCTGAGGATCGGAACAATGAGTGAAATGTATTAAAGCCATACTGCTGCAGTTTAATCAGCTAAATATGTATTTTAATATTACTTGCAGTTCAGCTGTATGGATGGATACTATATATTGTCAAATAAAGTCAATTATAATTTTCTTTCAGTCTTTGACAATAATTTTAGTTTCTAAAACAGGTTTAAATTTCACCTTTCTAATCAAAGTTTCTATGCAGTCATCTTGGACATGAACATCACATCATCTTATGTTGATATTTCACTGACTCAAAAACCACTCTTTTTCCTTTAATTTTCTTCTTTATGAGAGCGATTTTGGGATGCCTTTAGAAAAGAATGTAAAATATAAATAACATTTACTCCTGTACAGTTATTATATAACTGATATCATTGGAACTTCAGTTTAGAGCAAGGGTCTCTACCTCCGGTCATGGAGATCTACTGCCCTGCAGTTTATAGATACATCCCTGCTCCAGCAAATCTGAATCAAATAAGATACTCATTACTATGCCTTTGCCAAACGTGACAACATTTCAAGGATAAAATAATTTGATTCAGTTTTGCTGAAGCAGGGATGTACCTTAAAGCTGCAGGGCAGTAGAAAGGACCTAGATTGGCCACCCCTTGGTTTAGAGAACCGTTAATAATACAGAAATAATCTACCTGCTGCAGACAGTCAGGATCAAAATAAAGCTGTTATTAGGCTTTGATCACGTTAAGTAAAAAACAAACACTAACGAACGTTCAGCAGCACTCACTATGATTAGATAAATGTTCATGTAGGTATGCGTTTAAGTCTTTGAGGATTCACACAGCAGGTGATCTTTAAAGATGCTTTTTTTTTGTTTTTCACATTGTTGTTTATACACCAAAGCGACCCACAGAAGGAGATCACACAGCAGTGCACTGTTTTCAGAAGACATAATGAATGTGACTGCCATGCAAAGTATTAAATAAATCTTTGTTGAAAAACCAAAACATTGTTGTTGTGGATGTAAGTGTCCTGATAGAATGAACAATGTTGTGTACAAAAATCATCAAAAGAAAAAGGAAGGTAAATAAAAAACAGCATGTAACAATCAAAAAGTCAAGCTATAAAAAAAGGTTTAAACAGAAATATTCTATCCAAATCTAAAATAATAAAACAGAATTTAGTTCTCTTACTTCACTTTCCCCCACATATTTACCCTGAGTTCACAAACTCTCCAGGGAAACATTATTAAGATAATTCAAACAAACAAAAAACTGGTGTGGTCTAATAGTTAGATGCTCAGTGTATGCAAAGTTGTCCTTCCATGTCTGCTTTCATTTCATCAAGGGGCCAAGCCACATACTCTCCCCGCCCCCCCCCCCCAAAAAAAAAAACCAACAAAAAAAACATATCTTTATTTTGAAATAAAACAATACACACAAAGCGTTTCTCCTAATAATGTTTACTTATTCATACAGCTATCGTCTGCAGGCAGTACCTATTCACGCATTTATCACCCTACCAGCTTTGGCATTTTTACGTCGTGCTTCAGTGAACATCGACGGGGAACCTTTTAGAGATAAAAGCTATTGAGCCCAGTTACATGTGAAAAAGTAATTGCCCCAAATGCACCAACTTATTTTCCCACCATCGGTAGCAACCGCTACCATCACTTTAAGCTTAGGAGAAGTATTTATGTACAAGGGAGGTCTGCAGTAATGTCCTGGGTATGTTTGTGACCTCCTGCATGAGAGTATTGATGCATTGTTTTGGAAGAAAGGCCCCTCTGGTTCATCACATTTCAATGATCTCTCCATTTGCGGATAATGGCTCTCGATGTGGCTCAAAGGATTCCCAAATACTCAGGAAAGGATTTCTAACCATTTCAAACATGATGCCAATGAATAGGTTTCTCATTGCTTCTTAAAATTAGTTTAATCAAGGCACGCTTATTTGCTTTTAGGAATATTTGAGCCTAATTTCTGTTAAATCATATTCTATTTAATCATCTTAAAATTGAAGAGTTAAAGGCAATCAGTTGATCTGTCATTTACCTTCTATTTTCGCATACTAGTAAAAACAGCAAAGATTCAGTTGAAACACATTGAAAAGGTTTTTTGGAAAGAGATTTTTGTTAGTATGTTATTAAAATCTGCTTGAAGATCTGAAACGTTTAAATTTCAAAAAAAGCAAAAAAAAAAAAGAAATCTGCAATGGGACACATACATTTACACAGCACTACTTGTACCTGCAGGAACACCAAAATATCATACCTCTGCATGTGTGACGGGAACAGAACTGATTCCAGTGTTTACAGCATTCCAGGATCGAGCAGTAAGCACACAAGCAAAGAGGGGGTAAAGATCTCCTGCTCCCAGTCTGCGGCTGTAACGCTCCACTCCAGACATATCGCCTTTGATGAGGGACATCCACAGTCGACAGTAGTCCATCCTGAAATCTGGCTGTAAGACCTACAACAGAGAATTGGCGATTAGCTAGGTTAAGGTATTATTTATGATTTAATTCAACAAAGCAAGGCCAAATGGAAAGAAAAATGCTATCCTTTATGCCTTATGCAAACACACTTCACCTTGAAAGTTTTTACTTCGCTTATGAAAAGACTTTAGACTGTAAAGTTTGACGTCACCTTTCTCAACCAGGTCAAATTAAAAGTTTGGAATGATTTATAAATTGATTTCAAATGAATGAACTCAGTTTGGTGGTTTGGATTTGCCTTAGGAATAAATATAAAGATGTCAAATAATCTTTATCATCATGAGGAGGATTGGGAAATGTTTTCTGGGTTAATTGTTCTTTTGACTTTCAGATCAACATTAGACCAAGTGCTGTAAACTTTTTTAATGATTTACTACACTTTGATTAAATCATATTAAAGTTTAAGTCTTGTCTAAAAGTTGTTTTTCTAGAGAAGAATTGTTACCAAAAGTTCTCTTTGAGGATTGATTGCTCCAAACTTAAAAAACTGTGAATAAGTTAAGAGGCAGCAGCCTGCATTATAAAATGGTCTTTCCACCCCACCTGTAAGTAAAACAGCGCTCACTGTAGCCACTATGGATGGACGGCATAGCAGCGGGCGTTATGAGTTATGAGTTTTCTTTTCATTTTTTTGAGTTTCCTTTTAATAGCCTCAGTTTTTTTCTTAATAGTAAATTAGTTGTGTTGTCCATTCCAGAGTGAGCTGATGTTTTAATACTTTCAGCAGCAGAGAAATGGTTCAGAGAAGTTTGAAATATTTTTGTGTAGGTGAAGTGATGGACAGGATGTGTATGACTGTATCAGTTAAAAGTTCCGGAGCGTGGTGGTCCAGCTTTTGAAGGTTCTATAGTCTAGGGAAGTCAGGTTTAAAATTTGAGTACCTTGTATGGGTCAATAACATCTCTTACATAACATATAAACAGATACCTTTCTGGAAAATAACAATTTAGGCTCTGAGTCCAGGTACATCTTAAAGGTATAGTGGAGGATGTTCTTTTTTCCTGGTGGATCATCAAAATAAGTGGTCCTCCTAATTGTCAATCAATCTGGTGATATGTCTAGGTAAGGCTGTCCTATGTGCTCATCCCCATTTTCAATTACCAGTGGCGAGTCTGACATAGTGGAAAAATTGCACATCTTCTTTTGGAGAGTAAGCTTGTATGAGATATGCAGACAACTTTTAAACAGAGTGTGCATGAGGAGAAATAGGTTTGTGCATGCTCCTGCAAGCGTTTTATTGGCGATCCTGGTACAGGGTTATGCATGTGTAAATCCTCCACTATACCTTTAAGTAGCACCAAATGTCACTGCTTTGGGGGCGATATTTAGATTTGATTGATCTCAGAGGCCAGGATATCAAAAAGGCACAGATCTTATAGGATGAAACATGAAGAAAACCATAAATATAAAATAATTAATCTGGGTAGCATGTTGAGTATTTCTGACTAAAATAGACGTCAGTAAAATAGACAGTAGGAGTGAAACCCATTGGAAACCCTATGGTGAAAATAATAAGTTAGGCGATGGTTACATGAGCTCTGATGTATGAGAAGTGATTAAAGAGCTCTCCTTCAACTAGGTTAGTTGGAGCATGTTTGGATTCCAATGATTACTGAAGAGAAGTATTACCCCTACAAAAATGGAGAGATTTGAATAACCAAAACAATCCTTAAAGTTACAAAGGTGGTTCCACTCTATGAAATTATACATATTTAGTTTAATAATGCTAACAGAGTAGTCCTGAAAAAAACCATGAACCAGAGACCTGGAGTGTAAAAACATTTTTGAGATGTCTGATGGCCTGTATGATTTATTACAAGAGGAAGTGTCTTCATTCCAACTAGGGATGCAGAAATAAAGCTTTTAAACTAAAGAGATGAAAGTTTAAAACTTGATTGTTTCTTTTTTGTGGAAAACAAAAATCCCAGTCAGGGACAAAATGTGATTTTGGTTAACAGAGATTTGGACTTTTTAAACAGTTACACGGTGAACAAATTAGACTCAGATCTAACAAGATGAAACACATAGTTAAGAAGGAATAACAAAAACAGGCTTATTATAATTATAAACAATGAAAAAAAAATCTCATCTGAAATGGAGAGAACATTATTGTTACCTCCAATAAAACAACTGTGCTTAAAAAGAAATAATTTAAGTTCACTGAAACCGTGTTTTGTTTTTATAAAACAAGGACAAAATAAAACTGTAAGATCTCCTTTGTGTCTCTCGATCCTAATCGTGGTAAACTGATCAATTCTTTTTCCACAGGGCTCAGTTGCACTCAGCTGTACTTGAAAAAGATTTTGAAAATGATACCTAGGGTTGCGGTTTGATACTTGCATTCACAGGCTGAGGAATAAAATTCACTGACCTTTTTAATCCTAGGAAGAGTATGATATATTAAATAGATACTGGATTTAATGAAACTTTAAACCAAAACTAAATTAGATGATGAGCAAAATGAAACTCATAAACCTCTTCTACAAAATTAGAATTAAAGTCATCAAGGGGGAAAGTGACATAGAGATGCCTCTACTTTCCACTAAGAGAGTTTTTTTTTTTTTACTTCATATGTAGTCTGACATGGGTACATCTACAGATTGAGTGGAATATTCCAGTTTACATCCTGTAACTTATGCCCTGTGTAAGAAAATAATGGTGGAAATAGAGGAATTGTTTGAAAAAAAAAGGTTTGATACAATAATGTTTCTGAGTAGGGCTGAAACAATTAGATTAATCAATTATTGAAATAATCGTAAACTAATTTAGTAATCGATTAATAATCAGGAGTATAGAGAGTGTAAAACATTCCTTTAGCTGTGAGAGCAACCCACTTGGAGCGATAAGTACACTAAGATAAAAAATATTTTTAATCTGTCAATATACCCAGAACTCCTCAAGTGGAAAAGATTTAGTTTCACTAGGTTTCATTTAGTAAAAAAGTCTTTCTTAAGGAATCTTTTGTTATCTGATTATTAATTGAAATAATAACAGACAGATTAATAGATTTGTAAAATAATCATTAGTTGCAGCCCTAGTTCATAAGGTATTTATGAACAGATTTTTTTTTTTAGGGCAGATTGGTGAACTGAGATCACCTAGTTTACACCGCAGTGGTTTCCATTGTTGTCGCAGCAACAAAACATTACCACAAACTGCTGATATTGGTTGTTGTTTGCACCAAGCATGTGTTAATTACTCAAACCAACAACGTAGGGAGTTTTTTTTTTTTCTCATCTTCAACCAGTTTGATAAAACCCAGCTAATTTCCAAACTAGGGGAAAAGGAACAACATGCCCTGAGTTCAATACTGGCTAGTTTCCCTGCATCGATGATCATCTTCAAATACATTATAATTTCTAAGCATGTACTCAATATGTTAAAAAAGTAATATTTATTTATGCATAAAACACCTTGTTTATTTTGCAAAATGTAAAGTTGTGTGAAGCTGTTCTGCAATGTAGAGTCATGTTTTGCTGCACACCAGTAAAATCATTGATCAAACTTTACCATAAAGGTAAAGAAAGTCATAACACAGTGTGTCATAGCGTGTGTGTGTTGTACCATTTGTTAAAGTGCAAGGATAATTTTCCAACATATACCACATACGCTGCATCTTATGGCGATTGAAGTCTGGCCCCCATAGGGAAAAGTCCGGTTTTGGGGATAGGTTTGGGACTAAAGAGTTAATTGAAGAAGGACCTAATGTATGTGTGTGGGGTGTTGGGATACGGTTAAAAATCTACATGTACTGAAAACTGACATCTGAAATTACAAATCATTAGGAACAAATTTGGACCCATTATGATCCAAAGCCTGCAAGTGATGCATGTGTCTTGTTTCTATAGGTGTGTGTGTTGCTGATTTTGAGTTGGATGATTTAGTTGCATATTTATGACTAAAGTTTCCCATGAATACTGCAATAAGCAGACAGAAAAAGTCAAGCCAAACCTGCGTGAGGGAGTGCATGTGTCAACATGAGCGTGTGCCCCTGTGTGATTAAGCTGCCATACATTCAAATGCAGGACACAGCACTCTGTGAAGAACAACATCAAATGAGTTGTTTATCAAAAAGCTTTTATCCTGCTGTACTCTAATATAAGTGTGTCTGTTTTTGAGAGTGTGCGTCATCACTGTGTTTGTGTGTTTGCTGCTCCGCCAATTTAGCCAAAGCCTCCACCGGCAGCATGAAAAATGGGTTGCAATAATACAACAAACGGGGGAGCGTTTGTGTGCGGGCAGCCTGCAGATTTCCTACCTGATACAGGCCGTGATCGAGTAGAACGATCTCCGTCTTCTGGCTCCGGGGACACTTTCGGACCAAAACGTTGCCCGGGTGGGGGTCACAGTGGACGAAGCCATGGACGAAAATCATTTCACTGTACATTTTACCCAAGTTTTCCGAGATCTGTTGGAAAAGTGAAGGATGAATGTGATAAATAAGAAAAGACAAACAAACCTTCACATCTGTCTGAACAAATTAAGCAGGCAACATCTGTGGAAATTCCATTTGGTTCCCCATAAATCATATGGCTCCTCCAACAAGCAGCAATGCAACTTTAAAATACAATCCACCACAAATGCATCAGTTTATTCATCTCACAGTTACTCTTATGCTCTCAATAGGTTTATGTTCTTTGACATTTACAATTTCTACTTAATGCATGGTACATTTTTCATCCTGTTTTGGAATTATCTTATAAATAAGCTCCTAAATTCATCCATCTATCCATGCACCTATTATTATTTTAATAAATGCATCATCAAACACACTTTTACCCACCCATAGCAGGGTCCTGGAGATGAGCTTGAACATATATTATATGCCCAACATAAGATCAAGAGAAAAAAAGTCACCCGTCTTTGAATAACAAAAAACTGCTTCTTTAAACCTTAAATGTAAATCCCATTATTGTCCCACAATGGGGAAATTCACTTTCTGCATTTAACCCATCCCCTTGGGGGGCAGTTGAATAGCAATTATGCCGCACGAGGAGAGCAGTGTGGGGTTGAGGGCCTTGCTCAGGCACATAGAATAGAGGCTGTGGGGATCGAACCAGGTACTTGCAACTTTCTCAGAAAACAAGCACACTGCTCTAACAACTAGACAAACATTCCCCAATATATATAAATAATCTCTAAATAGCTGTTCCAACCCAAGAATAAAACTTTTAAAATTGACAAGGCCACTAAACTCAACCAAGGAAACTTTTATTTGTTTCCTTAGGGCTATATAAAACCTTCTTTATCTTCTGATGGAGCCAGATGAGTCAATAGAACTGCAGCAGCAATTTGTTTGACCCATAGCTGCGGCTTTTACTGTATGGCTGAACATCAGTTATAGTTAGGATATGACTTTATGATTCTTCTTTCATATCAAACTTTTAACCACCACCCGTACAGCCAAAAGGCATACCTCATTGACGTTGATGTTGTGTTTCTTCATGTATTCTCTGTCATTGACTTGCCCTCCCTCTAAAAACTCCATGGTCAGAATTCTTTTTGTGGATAGATCCCAGTAAATCATGGGAACCTGAAGAAAAGTGAGAAAAAGGTAAATGAGACAAAAATATGATTAGTACCTCCTAAATCTTAAATCCTTTGTTGAAATTTTAAACAAACAGAAATCTGAGATCTAATCTTACAATTATAAAAAGTAGTAATCTAAAAATGTGCAATAAAATCACAACACATTTGATTCTGATACTGACTTCATGGCAGGCTATATAAAGCCTGCCATAAAGATATTCCATGCTTTGCCTTATCAGCTAATTTATTTGTAAATATATGTTCTGGCATTTCATGCTGTAAGAAGTTCCCAAAAATAATTGAATAGAAGAATTTTAGGGCTAGTAAACGGAGAATGGGTGTCAGGCTCCAACCATCATTCATCAATGGGTAATAAATCCACACAGACAGGAAATTGCTTTAATAAAAACCTTTGCCAGTTTTAAATGCTACTCCACACTGTATGGTCACAATCCCATACTGCAGTTTCATTGTAGAAAAGCCAGAATGTCTTTAATATCATCTTATTTTTTCCAGGGATTACCATAAAATATTCTCATCAACACAACGGAAAGCAATATACCACACACTTGCTGAAAGCATAGTTGATTACAGAGGTACAGCTGTGGGACAGACCTGCTGACAGTTGTTGGAGAATTTAAAGAGATGGCAACAGGGCTGCAATACCATCATTAACCTTAAAACATTTGAAATAAGCAATGAAATAGGAGTGTGGCTAATTAATTTGCTCATTAATTAATATGTTGGCTATTTTATTCATTTAACAGATTATTAATCAGACTACAAAATGTGCTTTATTGGAGATTTTTTACAGTATTTGTAATGGCTGAAGATAAAACTTCTTCGCAATGATGGTAACTGCAACAAAGGTTTTTCAGTTTAAATGCAAAATGTATATATGTTTTGTACAGTCTTAGCTAAACTACTTTTTCTAGTTGTCCTTTCAGTATGTTTTAGATTATGTATACTCCAGTTAACCTTATTGAATTATATTTTTTATATAAATAATACATTTTCAATCAGATTCATTATCACAGTCCCAGAATGGAAAAGCATAACCCTCTGAAATCTACGGCTGACTAGCCCCAATAGTGGATAGATCAATAAGCAGGGTTTTCCTTACTTTAATATAAGTTGACTGTTTATGTACTTTAAATACCTGTTTATACTCTAGCAACAGTGATACAAAAGGTGAAATGGTAAAAAGGACCAGTTGAGAGACCTTTGGTTGGATACATCAACACATAGGGATTCATAGGTCAGTTTTTTTTTTTTTGAATCACATGAATTAGACTTCACTCTTTCAGTGAGTCATGCTTGGTTAATCGGCCAATTTTCATGTGATCTGCCACAACTGGCATCCTGCCAATCATCAAGAAGACAACCAATTTTAATCATCTGTCATTGCATTGTTGATGAGTTTTTCTCTGGGCGGATGCACGTGTCCTATGCTTGGTCCATGTTTGTTTTGGTCAGAGTGCCCAAAACAGTGGGAAGAATCACCTGAACAACAGCAGGAAGGGGAGACAGGATTCTAAGCTCAGACAGAAGCAGTGGGGAATCAGTATGAGAACACCAGGAGAGAGAGCAACATAAGTGGGATGAGGCGTCCAATTGTGCTCTCCTCTGGAGCTAAGGAACCAGTGCGGTACAATGGAGGAGCCCGCTGGGCAGACAGGACACAAGAGTGGGAAGATAAGGCAGCTCAAGAGGAAAGCAGAGGAGCACAGCGGTAGATCGGAGAAGCCTGCCTGGGAAACAACACCAGGACGGGCAAAGGCTACAGCTGACCAAGGCTAGCTAGGCTAACTGTGGAGGATTGAAGGAACATAGCCGGAGATTGGATAAGTCAGCCAGGAAGACAGTATGCTGAATGCAGGGGAGAGGCTACTGCTGGAAAGGAGTCGGACAGTGGTACTTTGGTAAAGCCTGCCAGGGAGAATGATCAGGGCAAGGCTACAGCTGACCAAGGCTAGAGGCTCTCACACCACAACTCACTCCTGTCTCCTTTGGCCATTAATTCTCCCCTGGTCTCTTTCCTCTCTTTGATGAGCAACATGCTCATAATTATAGGGTTAGGGTCCATCACACGGAAAGTTGTCCACATTAAAGTCTCTATGTTGTCTGAATTAGCATTGGTATCCCCCATTTACTTCTGTAAAGCTAAATAGTCCCATGTCATGTCACCTCCTGTGCCCATTTTAAATACGAAAGTAAAACATTTTCACAAAAATCACCCAAAAAACTCAAACAGTTCATATATTAACATTTTAACACAGTGTATACCCAGCATTAAATGTATCAGTAGGAGCAGGACTGAGAAACAGTCAGTTTGTTTGAATAGTTTTTTCTATAATAATTTTAAAACTGCATTGAGATTTTTATATGACATTATATTTAATGTTTAAAGGGTTATTACTCTATCAAAACCAAATCATGCAGTTGAAATCTGAAGATTAAAAATCAGCGACTTGCCAATAAAGACTGTTTAAGCGTTTCAGATCCAAAAACAGAAAAAAACTCAGGCTAGAAGAGTCAGAATAAGTTAATTTGCGTTCATAAAAGCTAATAAAATCACTCTTACTGACATATAAAGGAAAACGACATCAGGAAATGAAACCATAATGACATCAAGTCTATCTCTATCTAGTAATGGAAATATGATTCAGCATTGGTAGAATGTAGAAGAGCTGACGAGTAACACAAAGGAGGATTCTGACCTCTATTAACGGCAGACAGCAACATTACTAACACTCTGATTTTAAATTCAGACAGACAGTGTAGGAATTAAAACAAGCATGCTGAAGAATCACAAGTTCCTCGCTATAAAAAAAAGCACTGGAGGAGAACAGTACTAAAATGTGAGTACCTTGAGAAAAGGGAAGTGGGACAGCATTTTAGCCACCTTTTCTGCATTGTGTCCCTCGTTAAGGAAGTCCAGCTCCAGTGGCATGTTTTTCTTGGCTTCCTCTACCAACCACATGAAGGCAAAGTCTGGGAAGAGCCAATGGACTGCCTTCAACAACACCTTCAAAATAAAACAGACACAGATGAACTCAATATGGTTTTACAGCACATGTTTCAAGTTAGTATTGTAATGAAATACTCACTCCGCACAATGATACTTAACATACCGTAAATTCTCTAATATTGGCCTGTATTCCAATAGCGGCCGGGTCTCTAATAATGGCCGGTCTCGCTGTCAGAGGAGGTAAATAATGGCCGGTCTCTAATACCGGGGCTATAAACGTTTTTTCTGGGCATACCTCAACATTATACTTGTGGTAGTAAGTAACATACAAGTACCACAGCCCTGCGCAGCTGGATGACAGGCCCTGACTGCTGCCCGTCTGCGCGAGGAAGAGAACAGACACGCAGCAGAACAGGAGGAGCGCGAGTGATGAGGAGATTAAAGGGAGAGATGAAGAGGAGGAGAAAAACTGAGGAGGAGAATTAAACAGAATTGGAGGATTTTTTTTTTTTTTTTACTTCAAACCAAGCGAGACATGGTAACTGTACTTTTTCAATAAATGAACCTAGTGTTTTATAGGTTCAAATAGACACAAAATCTCATTTTTATTCATTCCACTGGTAGTCTGTTTTGCTCAAATAGCAATAGAGGCCTGTCTCTAATTCTGGCCTCTATCCAATAAAGGCCTGGACCGCGATGCACTTGAGTGAAATAAAGGCCCGGGCCTATATTAGAGAATTTACGGTATTTATAAAATAATAAAAAAATAGACCTCAGTTTTGTTCTAAAGCTATAGCTTTGATGAATTTATGGCAGTTATACTGGAATTCATATCTCTTTATAGTCACAAGACATTTTTTAATAATCCATAGATTTTTAACTGAAGCCAAAAATTTGACCTTAAGTTAAAGGTTCTATGGAAAATTAAGCACAGGTGCAAAACATCCCACCAAAATTATGTGGTGAAACTAAAAGATGCTGTCCATAATTATCAGTAACTTAATTCTGTTTTAAAGAGAATTGGCACGGTAAAAATAATAGCAGCAAATCTCTTAAAATAGATTCCAGGCTAACTAGCTAATCTTGGCAAGATGCTAAAATATTCTGTGCAATTTGAAGGTAAATACTTGTGATAAATGTATGCTCATTCCACATTTGCTTTCGCCTTTTTTGAAGGTCTATATCTCTTAAAGAATGTTTTTCTTCTGAAGACAGTCAATTCTTCAGACATCTTTAGTTGAAAAATATGTGTATGTGACCGTGACTGAGTGGATGTGCTCTCTTCGTCCTCTGACATGGGAGCCGGCTCGGAGCTCGTCTGCCTGGCTGTGTGTTTCCTGGACAGGGCCGCCTTTTAAAGCTGCTTTTTGTGTCTCTGCTTCTGTCTCCTTGAACCCCAGTCAGCCTCAGCAGATGGCCGCTCACACTGAGCCTGGTTCTGCTGGAGGTTTCTTCCTGTTAAAAGGGAGTTTTTCCTCTCCACTGTCGCTACAAGCATGCTTAGTGTGAGGGATTGTATTTGAGTCAATGCAATCAACTGGTTTTCCTTAGATAGAAAACTTTGTATAAATTTGACTGTATGATCTGGTTGAACTGTAAAGTGCCTTGAGATGACGTGTTGTGAATTTGGCGCTATATAAATAAACTGAATTGAATTGAATTGTATTGTATTTAACGCATTGTTATTAGTATATAAAGGATACTACAAGGTAAAAACTCTTAACCCTGTTTTAGTTCATAAAAACATGCTGTAAAAGAAGCATACCCATTGTTGGACTGCACAGGGTCTTAAGATTAGCACCTTATACCTACACAAAGTATTTTTGGAGGCTTTTTGTCTAAAGCTGGCAAGCTCACACTGTGCATGTGAGTTGTTTCCAGGTTCTCCAACCCCTGCAATTTTTTCTATAAACATGTATGTAAATTAAGCTGATGAATCTAGATTATCCTTACATGTGTATGCATGGTTATTTTCCCAAGTGTAGTTCTGTTTTGTTATGAACATGAGACTTTATTGTCTGCAATCCTTTGTAAATCGAACATGGTAAAGTTTACACAGATACAGAATGCATGGCTATATAGTTTTGACATGCAGGTGTGCACAGACAGATATAAAACAGCAATTCTCACCTCAATCACCATTATATCCTTGGAGCTTTGTCGTTGAACTTTTGGGTGCTGGACCTTGATGGCTACAGTTCTGCCATCATGCAGGACTGCTTTGTGGACCTGCGCTAAAGACGCTGCACCCTGAGGCTTTTCCTCAAATGAAACAAACAACTCCGAAAGCTGCAGGAGAACAAAAAAATGCAAACATTTTAACTCCCAGTCTGGTAATGAAAATGCCAATGCAATAGTTAAAAAATAGATTTTTCTAAAATATGCAACTTAGGCTTTTCCTCTTGAAATATCTGTAATAGGGGGATGGGCATTAAACAAGATTAGCTACCCATATTGTGTGTATATTAATGTGTAATCCCATTCATGTTTTCATTGTTGCAGGTCTAGTTAAAGTTCAGAAGGAGGTGTGTTGCCCAATGAAACGCCACCATCTATAGAGGAAACCATGAGTGTAGAGATCAGAGGCTGCTGTCTGATCCCCTCAGTCCACCAGCATGTCTGTATCACAGCATTCAGCCCCCAGTTTGTCCTCAGAGCATAGGTGGTCCCTCATTAGCTTCCACTGCTCTCTGTGGACTCCCAGAACACACACAGTAATTAGTGTGTAGGTTTGAAGGTTAAACAGACTTCCCCAGGGACATTTGGTTATTAGAAACGACTTATTGTGTACTTGGGAATCTGAGAATTGCCCCCAAGCTTTCCTGCTTCATGGAGACAAATCTGTTCAGTTAAAGCAAAACGCTACATACAGCCTCAAGAAAATTGTTTTCCCTAAGGCCTGCAGCAACTACTTACTGACATATACAACAATGTTAACAGTTAAATGCATCCTAAGGACATATTGTGACTAACAATGTATTTGGAAACAACATCCCAAATGTATAACAGCAGATTATGTTTCCAATTTTTTGAACTGCAGTAACTGTAAATGCTCATATTTTCCAAAAATGGTTTGTTGGGCTGTCTTTAGCTTCTAGTTTTGACTGAATCTATGAAGAGAAAAAAGAGAAGAAAATAGACATAGATATAGATAGAAATAAGTTTTCCTGTTATATCAATTCAAGAAACAAAGCCAAAATAAAGGATGAGAGCTGGGTAGTTAGGTAGAATGTGTCTTAGTTAAACAGTAGGTTTGGGGCGACAGTGAGTTTGCCCTGCTATCGGAGGGTTGACGGTTCAAACTCTGTCTTTCAGTGTCCTTGGGCTAGGCACTTCACCTGCATTGCCTGCTGATGGTGGTCAGAGGGCCCCGTGGCCCCAGTGTATGGCAGCCTTGCTTCTGTCAGCGAGCCCCAGGGTAGCTGTGGCTACAATGTAGTTTGCCACCATCAGTGAGCGAGTGTATGCGTGAATGACTGAATGTAGTTTAAAGCATTTTGGTCGTCTCCTGATTTGAAAAAAGAAGAGCTATATAAGTACAGGCCATTTACCAAAACAGTAAGTTTCCGTCTGTTTTATCAACCAGGTTTTGTTTAAGCAATACAAAAGGCATCTTTATTTCTTTCCCAGGGTGTTTTTGCTTAGACTTCTATGTTGTGGGTTAGTATTTGGTTAATGGTCGTATCAAACTCTAGATTATTATTTTAATTGCTTTTAGTCTTCAGGCTTCCTCTTGTAGTACTTTAGTGTCGAATCAAGCAAATAACTGGAAAAGGCCCTCCTGCCCCCAACTTAATTTTACACTAAAAGTTTTTAAATGAAGTCATGTGTGGAATCAGGGAACTTGTACAGAGTCCCAAAGAGATATTTGGGTATGTTGATAGGAGTGTTCAAGAAATCACTGGTGTCCAAAGCCAGTCTTCAGTGATATGGTTTGTATGTTAAGATGGTGTACTGATTTAAATCAATTAATTCAAATAATTGGTTTATTCAGAGGCCTCGTCAGAGCTTGGTTATTTGCTAAGGAGGCAGTAAATGTAGTAGGCCAGTAATATATGACAAATATGTGGCTTAAACTTAAATCTGTGAATCAGATCTTTAGTAGCATAGTGAAGTATGAGATCAGACTGATTGGTTAAAAATACTTTTCAGATTCTCTTTTTTAGTTTAAATCTGTTTTGCACTTTTGTTTTTCTTTCGATTAGTTTTACACTCCTTTCATGTTTTTTGTTTGCTTTTATAGTCATATATTACAACATTTAAAAATATAAATTTTGTGTCATCTTAGCTGTGGAAAAAGAATGTTTAAAGAAATTCAGTGTTCTTCACTGGATGCATTGTTCTTTATAACTTAGCAAAAAATGCTGCTAGAGGAACCTGTGCTAAAGTCTTAAAACAAACTTATATTTCGTTGTCCTGTTTCAAAACAATCCATAAAGAGAGAAGATTCCCCTGCTGTTTGGTAACATGAAAAGAGGCTAATTTGAACACAATGTTGGCCCGTCAGGTACAGACAGAACATGAGCCCTGCAGAAGATGCCACCAGATATTAAATTATACATCCAGCAGGAGCTGCTGTGCGGCCTCAGCTGAGCTATTCATTATGCAAATACGCTAAATGGAATGAAATTGTCTGCACCCACCAGTGTCTACACAGGACAACATCAACAATCCGGAGGGATCTGACACGCCAAAAGTCCTTTCATGGTTTAAGAAAACGTGTAATTTCTCAGATGAGCCCATCATTTTAAGCAGCAGCCTGAGCTCTCGGAAATCCCAGCAAAATTAAATCAGACAGAATTATAAAACTAACATCAACTTAATCTAAGAGAGGATGGAATACTATGAATATTTGCAGCTCTCTGCCATACACTCAACACTCATGTTGAACTCGGCTTTGGAGTTAATAAACATGGTAATGCATGCAATCAGGCCCTGCTCCCATGGGGCAGACCCTCAGTGACATACGTTCCCTGAAATGAGTTATGGCACAAATAAAATGGCCCCCGAGGCCTCACAGTTGGATGGAAACACATCGGTGTCTGTGTCACTGAGGAAAGGTGGCCAGTTTGGCTGCTGGCAGTGAGCCACAGCCCCAGCTGGCTGAAAATACATAAATCATTACAGAGCAGAGAAAAACGGAGGCAGGAAGGAGAGATTGCTCTGCAGAAGTTGGAAACTAACAGCCCTTTCAAGGAATCTTAATGTAAACCTCAAAGTCATACAGACAAATATCCACACCCTTGTTGACCTGCATTGGTGTATAATGAAAACAGCCACATTGACTTTCCTAGGTCTTAAATATCAAATACTTAAGTAGGCTTCCTATATTGCCAGAAGATTCCTGAGAAAATTCATCCAAATATAATTTATGCAAAGAATAGCAAAATAAAAAATAAGTGCAGAATGCATTAGTTTGCATTGCATTTCTGTGAGTCATATTTGGATTTTTGGATTAATAAATAACTTATTGATCTCTCCCATATGATGCAAAATGATCATAGATAGTAAAAAAGTTAAGATAATTCAAATATTTTGCGGGTATGATCAGGGTATCTCCAAAACAATCCTCCTACGTAGGTGTATGGTTTCATTTGGTGGCTTATTTGGGATTTTTATCAGTTTGGGAACAACATTCCTCCTCCACTTCCTGAAACGCCACAGATGTCCTCACACCCACACACTCCAACTTGGACAGCCATATAGTGGTCATGTTCTCCTAGGTCACGCCTTTATTAGCAGCTAAGTGTGACATTCATCCTGGACTCAGTTTAGTAAAACATATTGTGCATATTGGGCTTTTCAGCAGGTTTGCTGCAGCCAGATCTGTGCACAGTGGGAATACATATGTTGCTACAAATGGTGCTGGAAATGGCGCGCACCGCACTTAATGCTTCTACATGACAAAAAGGCCATGATGTAAAAAAGAAACATGTGCGGTGAAAAGGAAATGATGCCGGAGCGGCCGACGCTTCCACTCCGGAGCTGCCTGGTACAGCTCATCAGCGTTGCTTCTTTCCCAGCCACTTTGGGAGGGAGGAGGGCTGATTCATCCCATTCGCCCTGCTTTCTACATACAAGACTTGTATCATTGCCTTTTCAGGGATAATGAGACCCCATGCAGATAGCAGGAGAAATCAAACCCAATGAGCACCTTTTGTAAAAAGCCTGAGAAAAATATTATCTAGTGGTTTTGCATTAGAGGAGGACTTGAATAAATGTACAGATATAAAATATAAGATGAAACTTGTAATTTGTGATTTCTTTTTTTCCTCTGAGAGCTTTACAGAAGTTCTTCTGAATGTTGGAGATGCTGCAGGTGTGCTGCTGTATACAGAGTTCAGAAATCAAGTGCTACTATCAATTAGCCTAGATGTTAGAACTGCTTCCTTCTCTCTCTCTATATATAAAAATTATGATAATACATTTTATTTAAAGTGAATTTCAGAACCCGCATATTAGTTTTAGATTCAAACAAAGGTAAAGTATCAGTATTATGAATATCAAGAGGGAGTGAATTCCAGAGTTTGGGAGAGAGCGGCAAAAAGCTCTTCTACCCATGGTGATAAGGCAGGCAGGAGGTATCAGGAGATACCAATCTGAAGAGATCTGAGAGTTATGGGGGAGCTAGATTAGGGATGTGCTTGAAAGCAAACATGAGGATTTTGAACTGAACTCTGAATCTGACAGGAAGTCAGTGAAGCTCCTGTAGGACTGAGGTGATTTGATGATGTATGAGTGTTTTGGTAAGTAAAAGAGCTGAATTCTGGACCAACTAAACCTAATGGAGAGATTTCGGATCAAGACCAAAAAGAAGAGAGAAGCAGTAATCAATGAGGGAGGTGAGAAGGCTACAGACATGAACAGAAGCAGAGAGCAGAGAAAGACGGATGAAGATGAATGTTTCGCAGATACAGATATGCAGAACGGGAAATGTTAATGATGTGGAAGGTGAATGAGAGAAGCTACAGAGGATGACACCCAGACTTTGACCTTAGGAGAGACGGTGGAACTGCAAATTGAAAGAGAGAAACAGTCCGTCTTGGTTAAAACTGATTTAGTTCTTACCAGCAGCATCTTTGTTTTGTGGCAATTTAGCTCCAAGATAATAAAGGTGAACCAGCCTTTAATATCAGCAAGACAGAAGGTAAGGGGTGAGCAGGGCTCTTTCTGAACCCTCATACCTCCGTGGGTGCGCCCTCATGCATTTTTTGTTTGTGTTTTTTTAAGTCATAGGGAAGCAGCTGTTCCAACAGTTGCACTTCTGAGTTCTCCCGAGTGGTGCCCGACTACACATGTTAATAAAGTGAATGTGACTGGTCGATTATCAAGGGGGAGGGATTATGGTGGCGGAAGGTTTGCAAGCATGTTTGGTTGTGGCCGGTGTCCCAGAAGCATCTTGCTAACCAGTTAGCAACTTGGTGTTAGTAGGTTCCCAATGGGAAATTACATTGGGACGAAGTAGTACTTAGCAACGACACTGTCAAGGAACGTTATGGATAGCGGAAACATGCAGGAGGAGGAGAGTTTTGGGAAAATATGGTCTGATAAAGAGTACCTTTATATACATGTTTAAGCCAGAATGATTTGAAATTTAAATACAACTTCCCTACGACTTTTTTTCCTTTTTATTATTTTTTGAGCTCCTACGGCCATTCACGCACACAGTTACACACTGATGGTGGTAGGCCACAGCTGCGACAGAATCAAGACTGCCCTTCACAGACGCCAACGGGCCCTCTGACCTAACATCAGTAGGTGAAGTAGGTAAACTATCTTGCCCAATGACAAGAGTGAGCTATGGAGCAGAGCAGGGGCTAAATTAGTCAACTCTGTTTTTAGGAAAAACTCCTCTATCCTATGCTACTGTCCCCCTCTTCGACCATGCAGTAGACTGGGTGGCCGTGCAGGCTCAGGTACACCATACAAAATTTCAACAACGGGTACATGTCAATCAGAAGAGGACAACTGAGTAAAAACAGGTGTCCTGGTCTGATCGATAATGTTTTTTTTTTTCTTTTTTTAACATCATATGGTGAAATCTCCATTTGCCTTCAGTAAACATGGCTCTAATACCCAATATAAGAGAAAGGTAAACTTGTGAAGATATTTTGATGCTTGTTGGAAGGTTCTGCAATGAAGACCTTGTGTCTAGCTATTTATCTGGATAGCTCTATGACACACATAACCAACCCAACCTTTTCATAGAACAGGTGCCGATGACTGTGGACTCTTACAGTCAGATATGTCATGTTATCTATCTATCTATTGCCTATCCTCACATGAATTCTGGGGAATTGTGTTAATCTTCTGCAAGAGGCAGGTACACCTTGAACAGAATCACAAAGTAAAACAAGGACACCCACATTGGACAACTACCATATCTCAGCAGAGTTCAGAGAGACCACTGAACATAAAAGCCATGCTTTTTCACTGTCGGAGAAAGCTAATTCCATTAAAAGCCCCTGGGCCAGGATTCAGTGGGAAAGGCCTTCTGCTGCTCACACTGGGCTTGGTTCTGCTGGAGGTTTCTTCCTATAAAAAGGGAATTTTACCTCAACATTGTCATTGCATGCTCATTGTTAGGGATTTCTAAGGTCAATGACAGTACAAGTCAGGCAGTTTGAGTTGGTCTTCAAAATTGATTTATGAGAACATTTTTCATTTTGCTCAGTTTCTTTTTATCATCCATTTTAGTTTGCTTCTCATCGTCCAAGCATACAAATAGGTATAAATGTTCAAAAAAGTGTTTTTTTGATATTCACAAAAATAATTTTGTTACTGAACTGGGTCTAGAAATTAGAGTTTATGAGGTTACTTTCTCATATTCTTCCATGTCCTGTATTTATGGAACCATTATTTATCCTGCACTTGCTGCTATTGCACTTCAGGTTAGATCTAAACTGCATTCCGTTGCCTTGTACATGTACCTGTGTAATGACAATAAAGTTCAATATAATCTAAAAAAAAATCTAATATTCCACTTTGCTCAACATTGATGCAAACTAGAGATAATATCAATACTGGTCGCCATATTGAAGAAAATTCTAGAAGTGGTATTAGTGAAAACGGGCGCAATGCATAGTGGCAGATTTATCCAGTGTATTTCTATAATAAATTTAAGTTGGTTTAAAAATCTCTTGAACAGAAGAACCCCTCCCTAATTTAAGAGGTAAATTCAGCCAACCAATACACCAAAAGAAAGCTTTAGGTGTTGAAAAATGTACCATCATCTGCATATAATATCCGGATTACAAGAGACCAAAATGTGGATCGGTGCCTCCCAGGACACGCACACCCGTTCATTCATGTACCTAAAGCTGTAGCCTCCCTCAGTAGTAAAATGTGTCCTGTTGTAAACCAAAAAATGTCTCAGGCATTGAGTTTAACAAGTTTAGAGTAGGTTCATGGTGTTTAAATTCCCCAGATTTAACGCCAACTATACCTTAATGGTAAAGAACATAAGGAAATAAAATGTCCCTCTGTGACACCCAGCAGTGTAAAAGCTTACCACACCAAAGTGATCCAAGGCAGATGAGTAGTGTAGGAAAATGAACATGTTAAGGCTGCCCTGCATTGTGTTGAGCTTATAATTGTTGTGAAACTGTTACATCTGATTTAATGGAAATATAGAAAAATCTAAGTGAAACATGCATTTCTATAAAGGCTTCATCAGTTTCTTCAATGAAGCGAATTGGTTTCTTTCGAAGCAACAACAAAATGTTCAGTCCAAACCTGACAATTACTGACAGTTCACATCCAGAGATTATATCAACCTTTCTACAAAGCAGGGGGAAGACAATTAACTTTACTACCGATGTTGCTGATTCGATGTTCCTCAACTGGGCACAATAAGTCCACTTCTTTAGTACCCAGTATGCGTTAGGAGAGGACCTGTGTATCTGAGTATAACAGAATAATTGCCTGGCCTCCTGCAGGCCCTAAAAGGCTGTCATAACAACTGGGTTTGAGAGCAAACACCGCACTCGGTGCCAATAGCTGTAACAGCTTTTTCAGCTTATAAAACCAAGCAAGGACACAATGTCAGACTGCTCCAGCTCTGCTTTATCTGCCCTTTTTTTCCCTGCAAGCCACAAAGAGCACATGTACAGACAAGCGCACATTTAACACCAAATCAGAGCTGGTGATAAAGAAGCCTCAAGTGCCAAAAAGTGCAAATGTAAGTGCATTAAAGGAAATTGGGAGCTCGAAGTCACGCTTTCCTTTAGCAGAGAATAAAACCCTCAGAGTACTTTGGTTAATGCAACTCTCAGTTTGCTTTAACTGCAGTGTAATTTATATTTAAACCTGTGCTTTCTTAACATCAAATCCGTATGGATCTGATAAGTGGATTTCTGAATAGCACAATCTGAGAAAAACTGATTGGTAAAGAGGAGGTGTAAACATGCAATAGGATCCAGCGTAAAAAGTCAAGATTTAGGTTAGTATTCATTTTCACAGCAATCCTGTTTTATTTTCACCACAGGTATATATATATATATATATATATATATATATATATATATATATATATATATATATAAAGCAAAATATGAATTTAGCTTTTCAGAAGCAGTTTTCTAAAGAAAAAGTAAAAAGTAAAGCATGCCGTAATGTGTCTGGTGTGTTTTATGATTTTTACCCAGTTTTCTAATCTTTGGTTTTACAAAACTTTATATTTAATAAGGGTTTTAATCCAACAAATTGTCTTATAGGATTGAAGAAAAAAATATTAAATTATAAAGAACATTTTAAGCATACGTTTTATAAAGCTGTATCCCTCTCTTTATCACTATTGATAAACAAGAAAACTGACTGATGATCAAACAAGCAGAAACTTCCTGTTTTAGTGTCTAGTGCTAAAAGTTAACCTTCAAATCTTTGCCACAATTGTTCAGTTGAAGGGTATACTGTATCTAACTGGTTTTACCTCCTTTCCGAGATCCTCTCTGATGACCTGCTGAATCTCCTCCATGGTGCTCTCAGGAGCTCTGCTGTGGAGCACCTTCAGGGTGGAGGTGTACTCCTCGGGCAGCAGATAGTCCAAAGCACCGAGGTGTTGCCCCACTTTGATGAAGGTGCCCCTGTTGGCACAACACAAGTCTCGAAGACGCTCTGCTGATCGCCGATGCACCTAAAAGGAGAGGGAGTATCCAAATAAAATGATTTTGTAAAACTCATAACCTCTTTTTATCATTTTTAAATAAATTGTTCCAAGTTAGAAAAAATAAATAAAAAATCTGGAAAGATTCAAGTAGGTTCGTTTGTTAAGATCGGGTGAAATTTTTAAATCTATGCAAAGGGGGCAAATACTAACTAAAATCTTTCCTCCTCCACAAATAGAAAAATGATAATAGTTTCTTTATGTATGTGACTTATGCTGGAAGGCATCATCACTGTGAGACAGAAGAGGGACAAACACAAAGCCTGTGTGTGTTGGTCCCGTCCCGTCTGTCCCATTTGAACCAGCTGGATGTGATAATGCTTATAGAGAGTTTGTCTCCTGAGACCCGTGCAAATAAAAAGGCGTGAAATTAGCTCCCCTTAACCCCAGTAACCCCACCCCCCCACAGACACACACTCACACACGCATGCACAGCTGACTCCCAGAGGAGCGTTTGACACCAGTGTCATCTGGCCGATGATGACAACGCAATGACAGAAACAAGTCACCAGAGATTACCAGATGAGCCTTTTTTTGCTCAGAAGAGCATTGGATTTATTTACAGCAGGCCACCTTCTCAAACTGGAGTGTATTGAGCGCTCCTTTAGCACCAAAAACACTGCCTGGAATAAATTATGTTTCTCAAAGTACAAAAAAATGGAAAGGAAGGTATTTCAAAAAATCAAATCAATGACATTTTACTGTAAAACATTTTTAATATTTGAGAGAAATTTACTACATCTACATATAAATCCCAACTGCAATCATGAAAAAAAAAATCATTTCCATTTTGAGAAAAAAAAAACACCTGAGTTTAAACACACTAAATACCATTTGCTTCATCTTTAACATATATATAAATTAGGGCTGAAACAATTCATTGGATTAATCATAATTAATAGATTATTGAAACAATCGTCAACTAATTTAGTAATAGATTAATCGTTAAACGGAGTATAGAGAGTCTTAAACATGTCTTTAGCTGACAGAGAAACCTACTTAGAGCAGCAATTACACCAAAATTGCAACAATTTTTTTTTTAACATTTTGCATTTAAGATTTAAAATCAAAGTAATCTGTACATATTCTCTAGCCAGAACTCATCATTTCGAAACCTTTTAGTTTCACTTGCTTTAATTTTACAAGAAGTCTTCTTTAAGGAAACTTTTGCTATCTGATTATTAATCTACAGATTAAATGATTTTTAAAATAAAATATATAAAAGAAGAGAAATTTGATGAACAAAAAAAAAAAACTAAACACACAAATAACTGAATATATATCATAGGAACCATCCTCAACAGTACATGCAGGACAGAAAAATATGCTGATCTAAATGGATGTTAAATCAGAAGTGATTACTTTAAATTTAAATGAGTTATTTTTAATCATAAATCAGTGTATAATATACATCTACACCCCTCCATTATTAGGGACTGCAGCATGCAACTGTAAAAACTGTTTAAAGTAGAAATATAAAGGTTATGTTTACAAATTAACATATTAAACTTATACAAAGAATATTTTTATTTTAACAAAAATTATAAATAAAAGCTTAACAGTACATATTAAATAATAATGACACAAATAATAGCATAATGAAAAGACTTGTCAGAACCATAAAACAAATAATTTGTTTGACTGCATCTCTTCTTAGCAGAGTCAGATATAGTTAATGTAGCCTACCTCATTTTATTGAAAGGATGGTAAACATAACTGTACGAAAAAAATGTTAAAATACAAGAGTGAGAACAAAATAACATTACATATATTAGGAAAGAGAAACTTGAAAAAAACTGATGGAAAAAACAAAGAGAATAAAAACTCAAATGTAATAATTGAATATTTTATATTCAGATGATGAGATTAAACTGTATGAACCTTGCAGCTCATTCCCATGAATACTTGTTTGCTGCAGATTATCTCATTATCATGTCTGCCTTTAGGGGGGAAGATTATGACTGAAAACTAATCTGGAAGTTGATCAGACCCAAAGTGATGCCATCTCATGGTTCGATCATCAGATCGATCTCTGCTCTTCCTCTTTTCTGCTCTCCTCCAGTAATCAGTCAGCTTTGCTGAATGAGGGCGTGCACTAAGCTTGAGGATGACATCACCATAGCGATGCAGCTCCCTGAGAGCCGGAGGGGGAACGCTGCTCACAGATAGGCTGACACCCACCACCGCCCACCACCTCGGCGCACGCGCAGACCATGGAAACGGACAATTAGTGATAGAGACACAAGGGTTAATTTGTGAGAGATACGGGTTGGTGCAGAGTGTCTCACAGTATCTCTACACTTATGCTCTGCACTAAGATGGTGATTTGAAGGAAAGAAACAGCTGCAGGAATCATGATGGGATGGATTTGAGGCCGAGGAAGCAAGGCAGCGAACTGAGGGAATGGAAATGGCAAAAATTAGTCAAACTGACAGCTAAAAAAAGCATCGGATTCCTTAACTAATGCTTAATTTTGATAACATCGAAGCAGAAAATGTGCCAACTCTCAAGCAGGCAGGTCGCAATCACCTGGCTAATTGTTATCCATTGGTTCAGCTCTTCTGTTGCAAGGGAAAAGCAGGTGTAACTCCTCTGACTTTTCCTCCACAGATGGTTAAATGTTAGGTTAAAAAAGGCTGGATCTTGTTTTTCCTGGTATTTACTGTGTTTCTGTTCAAACATGGGGACCTCGAGGCCAGCTCCCCGCGGAGCCTATCGCTGGATGGCCTTCAGATGCCATTAAGCACAGATGGCAAATTGTTTTCTGAGAGAGCACCCCCTCCTCTTCCCTTTGTGCACTTTGATAGTATTTCAGAGTAAAGTCAATGGATTAAACACATTGGTTAAATCAATTTGACATAAATCCTCACAATAGAGATGGTCTGAGTGATCCAAACTCAATTATACAATAAATCTCAAGGTAGTCTTAATATTAAAGTAAAAAGATAGAAAAAATAGTAGATGACTTCATTATTAGAAACCGAAAATCAAGAAGCAAGCTTATTATGTACAAAATAAATCTAGAAACAGATCCAGAATGACACTCACTGTCTCTAGAGTCAGAGGTGTGGACATGTGTGCAGCTGGAAAGCAGAGATCAAGCTCCAGCTGCAGTAATTGATTTCTGCAGCCCCACCACGACTAAATGACTGGGATTAGTGGACTATGAACAAGACCTATTTATTACTGGGATGCTCATGATTAGCTCGTTACTCAGTTCACTGGGGCTCATCTCTCCGCCTGTCACTGGGGAGGGGAGAGGCTGCACAGTGTTTGTGCTGAGATTTAAGCCCGTACGGTCAATAAGGCTTGGCTACAAGTATTATAGCAGCAAAGCCACCCTCAAAGAGTGCTCCTGCAGTTAATGCACAGGCCCCGCTGCTGCGGATAATATCAAAAATACATTTATTTTAACAAAGCCCAACAGGAACACGACAAATTGAGAAAAAAAAATCTAAGCCGTTGGCTACGTATTTCTCTGAGCCCTTGCTGCTGCTTGCCGCCGTGATGCAGCTTTGTCACTGTAACACCCTGAGAACGGCCTGGGTGCAGAATTCAGGGAGAATGTCTGGGAAACGAAGAAGAGGGGCCATGAGAAGATGGAGGGTGCTGATTTTTCCAACAGCAAGCACAGTTAATTTCATGCTCTGCATTTTATTGTCATGCCTGAGTGATGCTGCCTGGTGCTGCAAGAACGACAGAAAGACTCTAAGTCACAACCCAGTGGACGCTCAGGATCAGTTATAACCAGCCAAGCTTAAGGTAAATACAGAACAGACTACAGAAAAACACCATTACTGCTAATTAAAAGTATTTCTACAACAACGGAAATATTTGGATTTGGTGAAATTCAATTCTACCTCTCATACTCATCATTAAAAAAGATTTTTGTCTATTGCCCTGAAACAAATGACTATTTTCCTTTCAGGTATAAAAGTATAGAGGATGATCTTTTATTTCGGGTGGATCACCTAAATAAGTGGTCCTCTTAATTGTCAATCATTCTGGTGATATGTTTACGTAAGGCCGTCCTACATGCTCACCCCGTTAGCTATCTTTTTCTGCACATGAATTCTTTCAGCATATATGTGTGATTATTTAAAAAAAGGCAGAGGGTCATATGTGAAAAAATAAAGAAATGAAAGGAGGCAGAACAGGTCGATATATCCCAGAATGCTTTGCATGGAGAGATCTCCTTGCAAATGCCATTAAGCGGCGACTAATAACAAAGATAGTGCAGGGACCGCGCAGTGGAGGAGGGTTTATGTGACTAAAAGGGAGCAAAATGCAGTGATTACCTGTCTGAATGGTCCGCTAACTGAGTTTGCTATAAAGCTATGGGTTAGGGCGGACGTTCGGCCACAGTAAGCTTGAATGAGCTATGAGAATAGCAGTTTTTAAACAGAGCATACACGTGAAGAAATGGGCTTGTGCATTTTTTTTTTTTTTTTATAGAGAGAGCGGGTCTTTTAAAAAAATTTGTGAAAATCCTCCACAATACCTTTAAAGTCTGCTTCTTAGCAACCTCAAGGTTAAGCTCCTTTTACAGATTTCAGTCTAAAGGTTAGCCATTTGTGTCAAAAATAATACAGAGCTTCTTTAAAACAAATTTCTAGTTTGCTTACTATCCTGAGAGTCTATGTTAATCTGGAAAGCCCAAAACTACGGATGGGAATCAAAAACCGGTTCCTGTTCAGAACCGGTTCTGTGTGTTCCAATTCTATGGTACCCGTTTGACTGCTTGCTTAACTATTCTCTTATCGATTCAAGGCAGCACCAGAGCCTAGGGCTCTGGGAAGCACGAATTACGTCATGTTTTGTACGCAAGTTACACACACGGCATTCAGTAAGCAAGTACGGCATGACCAGGTGTAAGTCTAGAAAAGCGAAACAAAAAAATGGTGTCCCATCAGGTAAACCGATCGAAAGTTTGGCTTCATTTTAATAGGGTGACCAGACGTCCTCTTTTT